TGTGTTTGCACATAACGTAATAGGTGTTTTCACATAATGTCATATACACTTGCACATAACGTAATAGGTGTTTGCACATAATGTAATAGGTATTTACACATAACGTAATAGGTGTTTGTACATAATGTAATACGTGTTTGCACATAACGTACCAGTAGATTCACATAACATTTTGAATGTTAACAGAAAGTATCAATTGTTTGGGAAAACGCATATAAGCTATACCATGATACATTATATTTTTCACAGAAGATATATATGTTTAAACACAACATAAAGCCGTTATAATATAATATCATGACGTTTTCAAAGAACAAAGATGTATCAAAAAACAAAAAACAAAAACGTTCAAAACATTCAACATCACAATCCCATTTGAGACAGGACGCAATTATTAACTGACTTACTTATAGGAAGAATAGACACAACATAGAGGAAATGTGAAAGAACGTAAAGGTAATTGATCATAAAGTTTAGAGGTATTCACAGCATATACAGTGGTTACAACATAATGTAATGCATATTGCACACAACAAAGAATAGCAATGACATATCATACAAATGTATGATTAAAACAAATAATTAATTATCATAACACATAGATGCAGTGTCGGGAAATAAAGGCACTTATACATAACACAAAGAAGATATGACAGGACGTAAAGACAAAGCGACAAAATACATTAAATATTTACACTATAAGACAGTTACGGAGTTCCATAATTAACTACTAAACTTTACATTCATAGTATTCTGAAATGCTTTCAATTTGTTATCAGAATAGTTTCAAACAGGTTCTAGTCATTTTATGTCAGAAAACATGCACATTAGGTAAGCTGACAATAATTAAAGTCTTGTTTTCAAATTCTTTAAAATTGAAACAGGAATGAGGGTCTTAAATGTACTGTACAAGAAAAGTTAGAGTATATGCAGTTATTTATTTAAGCTATAATATTGATAAATAAGTATTGTTGTGAGAAAAATTGTTTTTCAAGAGTTTTCTATTTTAATAAATGTTTGCTTAGGATGCACTTTGTAAATACAGCTGTTTCTCAAGCCTCGCCTCTTTTGGGGTGATATATAATATTCATAGATATTTTGTTTTATTTACGTACTGGTTCCCAGATTCTGAGCTCTATGTTTCATCTCATAGAGACATAAATTTGGAATGTAACCAGTATTAAAACACATGGTAGCGATGAAAATTTAAATCTGAGGAAGACCCACAGTGAAGGTAGGGGTAGTACAGAATTTTAAATAAGTTTAAACTCTAAGAAATTCGGGGCATATAAATGTTGAAAATATGCCATACAGCCCTATGTTTTGACCTTTGAAAAAACAAGTAATGTATATAAACTTTTCGTTCTAGGATATAATTTTTTACGAAACTTCATAGTAAAAGTGGCACAGTTTTAGCCGCAAAGGGAGTTGCTATGGGAAAATGCATTGTCTATATATACAGAAGTGCAACCTACATGTTTAAATTACGCAGAGTGCGGTGTGAGCCGACAAAAGTTTCAAAATGAAGCTGGGAAGACAATAAGTCCAAAAGTTTTAATTCAATTACTTAATTTGTCCATAGTAACCCCATAAAATTCTACACTCATATATTACATTTGGCACAACGGTTTCTTTTGTGTTTTTGATTATCAAATGAGTTTATATTGGGAAGTAATATTGCTTTAAAAATGGTTTGCCTTTCTTATTCATTAGTAACTTCCAACAAGTTTGCCAAATGAAGTACTGTTTTAGAGATACATTTATACGATGCAAAGTTGAGATTTTAGATTTATAAAAACTTTCGCTCTAAATGCGTATCCAAATTTTATCGTTACATCTTGATATTTGTTTATACATATTTCAAATTACGTTGTATGTGATTAATTATCCTACAGTAGGAGAAAATAGAGAAAGGCACATGGAAATAGTTCAAAGTACAATGTTGTTGTTGTTCAGAATATGTGAATACTATTCGAAGACGTATAGCGCCGGAAAATGTTATTCTTCTTTAGGGATGTTTAGTCTCAATTTGAAATGATTCTGTCATCTGTGCTCAAGTGCAACACTTTGTCCTTAACAGATACAGAATACCCTCTCTATTGACAAATTTCTAATCATCTTAAATTATCATAAAATTTCAATAACATCAATCATAAAGTTAATGATTTGTCTATTTTGAATGATTAAGTAGGGTTCATAACATGCATTCATAAAATATCATAAACATATCAATTCGTTTTCTGTTATTCACTGTCCGATCTACCTATAGGAGTGTTAAAAAACCTATATAGGAATTTAATCCTTTTAGGCGAATGTCAAGACAAGGGTTGTCGTGCATTTTTGTATATCAAACCTGTATTTACATAAACCAGGCCGTTAGTTTTCTCTTTTGAACATTTTTTCATTTGTCATGTCGAGGCCTTTTAAAGCTAATTATTCGATATGGGTTTGGTCATTTTTTAATTCCGTGCGGTGACTTATACTTGCCAACTTTTATAGTGGTCTCAATTTCATTGTAAATTGAGGTATCTATTTGTCAGGATATTTGTTTTATCCCGGTTTCAATTAACTATCTTGTCAGAAAAAGAATTAAGACAACATTTTCATTGACTAAATTCATGTCACCTAAGTTATATTATCAATTCAATTACATAAATATAAACGTCCTTATTATTAATTTCTTAAGATGAAACAAAATCAAATTAAAGCGAAATTCATTCATTTCTCTTTGAAATGATTGAGAAGAGTATTCGCCGTTATAAAAGTTTAATCTAAATTATTATAAACAGTTTGTCTTCCCTGCTAGAGTTAACTATTACATCATAAAATAAAATAAAAGGTAACCTCTTCATTGACAAAATGCAGATGACATTGAGTTATCTGATCTATTCAATAGCAACAATTTAAACGACTTTGTTTTATTCACTTGACAATGGTAGACTTTCAAAATTATACAAAATAAATTCAACGATATTTAAAACCTTGGGGGAAATGTTTTTAAAAAGACGAAAACACTGAAATATTTGTATTGCATTCTCAAAAACGTGTGTTACTTGAAATAAAAAGGGCAAACCAGCAACATAAGGGGACTGATATAATTTGATTGGCCTTTTAGTACCTACAATATAGCAAAACACGTTTGTTCATTACGTTTAGCATATTCGTCAATGCAATAATGAGCCAACTGAAATCTAGATAATCAGTTTTTTTACTGGGTGATATATTGGAAACATTCTGAAAGATTTTCATAAAAAAAATTAACACTTATTAATTATTCATGGTTTACATTGATATTATGAAACGAAATCATCTCAATGTCTGTCCTTAAATTTATAAAACTCAAGGTTGATATTAGAAAGTTTTACCGCCTAATTAATGATGAATTTGAATACAAATAATTCAATGGCCAAACAGCTATTAAGCCAAGAGTTCCAAATGGTGAAGTTGAAATCATCCCTTCGTACATTTTACGGACGCCATCACGAGTTGGTTGACCGTTATGGAATAACCATTTCACAGATGATATCGGATATGTTCCTTATGTCGTAACTACAATACCCTTCCCTTTTCACGAATGTGACTTACCGAATTAGACTATTTACCGGATTTGTAATAACATAAGCAACACGACGGGTGTCACATGTGGAGCAGGATCTGCTTACCCTTCCAGAGCACCTGAGATCACCCCCAGTTTTTGGTGGGGTTCGTGTTGCTTAGTCTTTGGTTTTCTATGTTGTGTCATCTGTACTATTATTTGTCTGTTTGTCTTTTTGTTTTTGGCCATGGCGTTGTCAGTTTGTTTTCGATCTATGAGTTTGACTGTCCCTCTGGTATCTTTCGTCCCTCTTTTTCAACAGTGCTGGCAGATTTCAAGTGAGGTCTGACATGTTTGAATTATCCTGTCATGTACTCAGATAATAGTCAGTGACCATGGCGTTAAGTAGGACGTTATTGCGTGCATGCAGACAATTGCCACAGAAAGATGCTGGCACAAGATTTTCAGTTCAGTTAAATAAGTTGTCCGTTTGACCCTCATACATTACGTAACGCTACATTATTTCTTGCATAACCATTTCCTTCTAATTTATTTTATCAAAATATTTTTGGGAAGTGATATGGTCTGACAACTTTCTGCCTTTCTCATTCAGTAGTAAGTAACGACAACTTTGCCAAATGAAATACCGTTTTAGTGCTGTAAATGAACAATTTTAATTTAAGCTTTATATCAACTTCCGAACTTCATCACAATTAGTATTTTATCGTTATAGATCGATATTTGGTAATGTATATTTAATATTAACATGGAATCAAGTTGATTATCCTTAGATAGGACACTTTACAAGAAAGTTAGAATTCAGACAAACTTAACTTTTTTAGTCAATTTGATAACATTCTTACTGCTAATTTCTTAGAAACGGTTCCAAATTAAATCAAAACAAAATTAATACGTTTTCATAAATACTGCAGACGGTTTTTCAAAAAGAGAATAATAACTGACAATAATATATATTTAGTAGCTTTATATAATTTTCGTTTTAATTAATTCTGGGGCAAAATGCAAGAAAGTCAAATTCAAATAGTCAAAAGTGAAAGACTTTATCGTTCTGATAATATATACTAATAAAAAATGTACAAATAAAATGCACCAGATCGATAATGTTATTTCTCTTTATTATAGTTTGGTCTCAATTTGATAAGAATTCTGTCATCTCTGCTCCCGCAAACTATCTTGTCGTAAACAGATACAGGGAAAACTCTCCGTTGTCAAAATTCCTATCCCCTTCATTTATATCAACATAAATAACATACCCTAACGGTCCTTATTTGCTATTCCTTTAAATTCTACACTTTAAATGTAATACCAAATTAAATTGACACAATTTGATAAATCTTTTGAAGAAAATGGCAATATTTTTTCAAAAAAAGAAATTAAATTGTTGCGAGAGAAAACCAGCAACACAGGAAGCAAATACTTTTTTTTGTGGAATCAAGTTACTTACAATTCCTTTAGAGCCGTCAAACCATTAAAGAGATTTACGTCCAGTGTTGTAATTTGGTTAGTGAATAGGGACCTGTAAAATAAAATTTTAAAAACGTATTTCGGCATTAAATGTTTCATATTCATTAATTCAAACATATTAACCTTAGAAAAAGAAGACCAATGGAAGTGTAGTATATCTGTTAAAAAACTGGTTGAAATATTGCAAACATACTGACAGATGTTTATAATACATCTAAACGTTATTGTTTATGTATGAATTAAGTGATTTACAAAAAAATATAATAAGTAGTGTTGAAATAAGAAAATGTGGTATGAGGGACAGTGAGACAACTCTCAATCCAAGTCACAATGTGTAAAAGGTAATTAATTATAGATCAAAGTACGTATTTTAATTTTTTTAATTTGCATCTTCTGTCCTCGATATCAAAATCCTCATTACATCATCTCCATGTCGAGCGAAGATATGGTTAAACTAAATGGAGGCATGTCTAAGCAGACAAGAGTTTCAAAATTATGCTGTCAAAAATATTGGTCCATAATGTTTAATCCGGATATCTAGATTGTCCATATTAACCACATGAATTCTAAACTCATATATTATATTTTGTACAAAGTTTTCCTTGATGTATTTTCGAGATTTTTTGTGAGTAATATTGGTCTTTAAACGGTTTTACTTTCTCATTCGGTAAAAACTAATTTAAACTTCGGTTATAATTTTTTGCCTACAATGGAACAAATATGTATTAACCTTTTCACTCGATCAGAGTCATAATTTCATCGTCATATAGCGATAAATGTTTATAGATATCTTATAATAACTTATTTCTTGTGTAATACCTAAAAACGCCAAATTAGAAGAAAGTCAGATATAAAAGGACTTTGAGTTGTCTTATCAATTGAATAACATAAATTTAAACTTAAATATCTTTATTTGTATTTTTTCAGAAATGGTAACCATTTTAATCAAAACGAATTGATAAATATTCTATGAATATTGCAGAAAAAAAGAGGGAAATAAATGGGGGAGGTGTCCATGGAACACAGATGATGCCCCCGCTTGCATATCACATAAAGTTATAAAGGGACATAACTGAAGAACGGTAAAAGTGACGCTACCAAAATTTGTATTTGATCTGAATTTTGTGGATTGTGTATAAGTTTCATAACATATGGTTGGGGCAAACTTAAGTTAGAGAACGAAAACGAAAAACTCAGCACTAATCCATTTGTAAAGGGGCATAACTCTAGAACAGTAAAAGTGACGCCACCAAAATTCAAACTTGATCTGTATTTTGTAGTATTAAGCATTGTGTATAAGTTTCATAACATTTGGTTGAGGTAAACTTAAGTTTGAAAACGGAAACGAAAAATTCAGCAATTTTTCCATTTGTAAACGAGAATAACTCTGCAACAGTTAAAGTGAAAACCACCAAAATTCAAACCTGATCTGTAATTGGTAGTAATAAGCATTGTGTATAAGTTTCATAACATTTTGTTGAGGCAAACTAAACCGAAACGTAAAATTCAGCAAATTTTCCATTTGTAAAGGGGCATAACTCTTGAACAGTTAAAGTGAAGCCACCAAAATTCCAACTTGATCTGTGTTTTGTGGTAATAAGAATTGTGTATAATGTTCATAACATTTGGTTGAGGCAAACTAAAGTTAGAGAACGGAAACAAACTTTGGGACGTATGGACGTACAATGTACAGTTGGACAAGGGTACAACTTAATGCCTCGTCCACTACGGCGGGGGCATAAAAAATGACTATAGATATTTGATAATTTCATTTCATTTTCCTGTTATTATTTCTGGTAAAGTAAAATTGAAGTTGTCCATAGTATAAAGAATTACTATTCTGGAAATATGTACTCATAATCAACGAAGTGCAAATGTATACATGGCAACATAGGCAACTTTTTTGTTTGTTTGTATTTGCAGAACTAAGTTACTTACAATGTCTCAAGAGCCGTCAAACCTTGAAAGATATTCATGTATGACTTAAATGTTCATGTTTATACCATAAAAGGGACAAATTAGAAGAAATTCAGAGAGGTAAAACGACTTGAGTTATCAATTCAATAACATGAATTTCAAGGCCATGATTTTTATTTCTGAGAAACGGTTCTCAGTTTAATCAAAACGAAATTTATACAAACTCTAGGAATATTGCAGAAAAAGTGTGTGTGTGTGTGTGTGTGTGCGTGTGCGTGTGCGTGTGTGTGTGTGTGTGTGTGTGTGTGTGTGTGTGCGTGTGCGTGTGTGTGTGTGTGTGTGTGTGTGTGTGTGTGTATGTGTGTGTGTGTGTGTGTGTGGGTGATGACTATCAATATTAAGTAGCTTCATATCAAATTCATGTTATGTGTGAGGCAAAGTAAAATTGAAGTAGTCCAAAGTGCAAAGAATCTACTGGAAATATGTACTACTAATTGATAAAGGCAACAGTAGTATACCGCTGTTCAAAATTCATAAATCGATTTAGAGAAAACAAATCCGGGTTACAAACCAAAACCGAGGGAAACACATCAACTATAAGAGGAAAACAACGAAACAACAAAAACACTGAATTGCAACAAAAACAAACGCCAATGCAACATACATAGAAACGAACTATTAGAAAACAACTGCCATATCCTGACTTGGTACAGGACATTTTCAGAAAAAAATGGTGGGTTGAACCTGGTTTTGTGTCTAGCCAAACCTCACTCTTAATGGCAATGTTAAAAATACCGCTAAAATGACAACATTACATGACAGGAATACAGTAAAAATAAGTACAAGAACACTCAGGACAGAGATATACATAAATAAATGATTTAATAGTACATTTCGACATGTTAACCACAGAAAAATAACGAATACCTACAATTAATTTTGGACAGTACACAAAAACAGCATAATAGAATTACGAACTATGCGTCACACGAATGTATCAACGCCACAAAATGTGACGTCACGGGTAGATTTCTAAAAATTGGATATAAGTTGGGATTAGGTTTGTAATGGTGTTATTTGATGTATTTTATAACAATTACAAGAATATTAATATAGAATTGTGTTAGTGATTGTGTATTCAATTGTATTATCTAACTATGTCGGTTTTTCGTCTAAATCAAACTGTGTAAAACAAATAAATCCTGTGCATATTATAGTTGCTTTAAACTAATATCATATAAATGAACTGGGTGATTAATTATCTTTATTTTTACATACGAATAGAAAATATAAAATAGAATAAAAATTACAAACGATAAGACATAAAACAATATCCGATCAGAATTACAAATAAATCAAATAAAAATGTATGGCACTAGATCAATATTTCTATTTCTGTAAGGCAAAGTTTGTTTTTATTTTACTCAGAATTTTGTCGTATCTGGTCAAGTAAACTACCTTGTCCTAAACGGACACAGGGTAACTAAAAATTCATATCACCTTCGATCATCTTAAAATTCAATGAAATCAACCTTAACTTGGTAATTTTTGATTTCTTGAAATTGGTACAGTTTACCAAACACCATATAACACCAAATTAAATGAACACACATTTATAAATCTTAGTTGTAAAATTGCTAAATGTTTCAAAAATATAAGTTAGATCATTGAGAAACCCGCCATACATGGTGGCAAAATATTATTTTGCGGGATCAAGTTAGTTACAATGTCTGAAGAGCCGTCAAACCTGTAAAGATATTCACATCAAGCGTTGAAATTTGATTTCCAAATAAGTAACTGCAAAATAACATTGTTGAAACGTATTTCTGCATATTTGTCATATTCATCAAAGCAAACACACTACCTTGGAAAAAGAAGAACAATGGAATAGTGGTATTTTTGTTGAAAACTGATTGAAATACTGCATACATACTGACAGAATTTATATCATTCAATGAATCTGTATTGTTCATGTATGATTTAAATTAAATGATATATTTTAAAAATAACATGCTCAAGGTCTGCTTTAAGATCTAGTCTTTCGAAAGTTTTACTGCATAATCAACGAAGAATTTGAATAGAAAAACAATTGTCTTTGTGATCATATTTTCCAACAGCTACGTCGCTGCTAGTGTAACTATACTTTATATACCTATATGGAGTTATTTTCTTTTAGAACGACATGTCTTTCGTTTGAAGAATTAACTCGGACAATACCATTGTCTCAATAAAATTTGCTTCAAGGCATAAAATAATGACCTCTGTACGGTAATTATTGTCTCTGATTAAAATGCAAACTATCGTCTTGTTGCCAATTGGGGATTTACTTTTTTTTTTATTTTCCATCTTTGATCGCGTTAAGGCAGAAGCAATCCTTTTCTCCGTTTATTTGACTGGAATACCAAAAATCGTCGTTGACCACATTTTAACTTTCGAACAAATAATGTAATTGATTATTTTTTATTTATTTAATAATTAAGTAATGCAAAGTTTTTTGTTGCCAAAAGAAGACAGATTCAACACATTCGTGTGAAGGATTTTGAAAATCTTATTCATTCACACTATACTGGAGATCATACTTTGACCTGCGGATATTCTTTTTCCTGTTACACTACATGTATCAAGTCTTCATGCTTTCTTCGTGTAAATTTATAACTTTATACATCTATGATGATCATATGGCCAAATGTTTTTATTTTCTATAGAATAAAACCCACGTTATTTATAATGGGGTGGGGTGGTGGAAGCATTATATTTAATCCTAATTCTCAGTTTGAATTTTTTTTTTATTGATGGACAAAACAATTATTCTGAATAGTTCGTTAAAATTGTTGAAAAAATAATCTGGTTTTTGGCGATCAAACTGTCATAAAAAAAAAAAACGAAAAAAAACCCAACAACATAGCATCCCCTTTATTAAACTAAGTTGATACAATGAATTACTTACAAAGTGACTTGTTTTTTCATACACCGCAACAATTCATTTATGTCTTTATTCATGCAGTTACAGTAATATGATTATTGTAACAAGATTATGATTTTTAAAGTTATATCTTAATAAATTAGTGAGTTTCACATTATAAATGAGACGTAAGACGTGTTAAAACCTGAACGCATCAATGAAGAATATCCAAC